CACAACTTTTCTAAAACCCCTAGAGATGGAATAGTTCAGGGAATGGATGTGACACCAGAGATCCGAGGAAAAGGGGAAAGAAAAATCATCTGTCTCACTTAAACCAACACTGAGATGTGGATTATGGCAATGAAATGCCAAAAATACCTTTGCAATTGGAGAGAGAATTTGACCACTTATGGGTGCCCTCCACCCCTAAATTCAGAAATTAAGACCATCAGAAAGCTAAAGTCATTGCCCAGCTGAAAACTGCTAGGAGGGATGGGTCAGGTTGCCAAAGGACAAAAAGGGAAGCTCTTGGTTGTCCTTTGCCATTACTTACTGAAATTCATGATTTTTAATGAAGGGAGGAATTTGCCTATGAATCTCTGTTTTTATCATTACCCTGGGCACTTTAAAGAAAGCATACCATAACTTAGATTCAACCCCCAAAGTCCAAGTTCCCTTAGGCCTTAGAGCATATCTTTTCCTGGTTCCTTCTTCTTTCCAAAAGCTCAGTTAGAATAGCAAATTTCACAGGCTAGCAAATACCATAGCAGGTGTTACTGTCGAGTGTTTTTCTCAATTTGAAACTTAAGCTATGTACTGTCTATTGTTAGTAATTTTTTAAATGCCTATGTAATCTCAAGCTATTAGCTGAACTATAAAATATACTTGTGGCAAAAATCACTCATCTCAAAGATGAGGGTAAACACCAAGGAGGTGGGTTGTTTCTGCCTTGGGTGGAATACTGTGTCCCCTGGGACACACACTGGCCCAGAAAGGGACCGGTGATTATGAAAAGAACATTGCTTAATTTTATACTATTAGATTAAGATATGTGTGAACTCCCCAGCTGATCATCATATCCTCCAAGACACAGACTCCACTAGAATTTGTCTACAATATCCATTGAGCCAAGCTGTCATTAAATTCAGCCCTGCTGTAAACACATAGAAGCTGTAAAACTATTTCAAGTAAATAGTGGTTTCCAGAACACTGTGGGAGCATCTGTCACTTCAATACTCAGAACATGAGTCTATCCATTTCCTAGAATTTGGTCACTGGCAATTTCATATATCAGAATGAGGAAAAAATTGAATGCATTGTAAGATTTAACAGTTATTTAAATAGTCATTAAGTATTTGGATATATGTGATAGATGTAGAATATATATGTATCAATAGGAACTTTGGTTTACATGGGGATAGATGTATATATACATCCAGAGAAGGAAATGGCAACCCACTCCAGTGTTCTTGCCTGGGAAATTCTGTGGACAGAGGAGCCTGGAGGGCTACAGTCTATAGGGTTGCAAAGAGTTGGACATGATTGAGCGACTGAACAACGACAATACATCTGTCCCCATGTAAATATAAGCACTTACTTTGTTCAATACTTCCAACTTCTTGATTTATAGATGAACTTTGGGAGGAGTTGGGGAATACTCTGTTGCCTAAAAATGTGTGTGTGCGTGCATGCACGCGCATGCACACTTTTTTCTGGAAAGAAGATCTCTAGCACTTATAAGATTCTCAAAGAATCTGGGACTGAAGAACGGTAAGAACTGTCTTCATATATTTTATGACTTTGTTTATGTGTGCATTCATCAGAGCAAGCTAAGACAAAGTGGTTTTGAAAAGCATGTACCTTTTCAGCTCATTGTTTCCTTTTCCCATCCTCAGATGTAAGTATATAAAATTGGCCTCAGTTCATCTTTGAAGATACTCAGATTGGGGCAGTACCACATAAATAGTCGCTTGCAGGTGACTGCCAAAGTTGGGTTCTAGATGTTCTTTCAAGAATTGAATGGTCAAGGACCTCTCAGAAAGCCTTAAGACAAAATGCCTTCTACACAGTAGTCTCCTTTTGAAATGATAGTGGTACCTGCTTTTCACCATTTGGATGTAAATTCATTTCATTTGACCCCTATAGGCTGACAATAATAAGCATTCAATATACAGGGCTTTAGGAACGCATGCTTTTTTTCATCATCCAGCAACCCTTCAAGGTGATTTACATAACTGATTCAAAGTCTCATAGTTAGAAAGGGGCAGAATAAGGATTTGGATTCAGGGTTTCACTTCCCATGTGTATTTATTCCATATTCTAGACTAGAACCTGGGGATACAACGAAGAACAAAATACCCTAGAAGTTAGCTTCTGTTTCTGTTTGCTGATCCTTCCACCCTTCATCCTTAAGACCTAAACCTGAGGTCTAAGAAGTGGTAATCTAGCTCGACATGCCAGTTTCATTTCTAGGAACTTCAGAAAAATTGGACACATTTCTGCTCACCCACCCTTTGGAGGTCCAGTAGGGTAACTGTGTTGTCGTTGTCAAAAGACAACCTTTTTGTGTGTCAAATCCAAGAAGAGGCCATGTTTGTGTCTTTATGAACTGACGCCTCAGTAAATTAAAGACAAAGATAAACTTATTTAGCACTTAAACCTGTGGAAAGTTTTCATTTTCCTGAGAAAGTAGAATTATGGGTTTGGGAAGGTCCTCTTCTATCTTGTTTTCCCAAGAAGGGGGAAAGAGACACTTGAGTGTTGCTGTAGAAAAGTATGGCATGTCACTTCTTATTTAACTAACCAATGTGTTCCCGTCTACGTAATAACAGTCTTTTTTGAATAATGCTAAAGGGTGTCACCTCTTGAAGGCTACAAGGGTATTTTCACCACCACTAGCATTACTTTAATATTATTTATGATATGTGGGCATGAATAATTTTAAATTTTGAAGGTAACTGTGGAAATATTTGAGGATAGATTGAAAGAACCTCTCAACAATGGGAGAGACTGCCTTATACTGGGTTGGCCAAAAAGTTCATGTGGGTTTTTGAACGTTTTGGCCAACCCAGTACTTGGCAAACAGGAGGCATCAGAAAATATTTCAACTCTATGTGTTTTGTTTCATTAACACAATTATGTACCTTCTCTTTCACACCTCCCCAATGTATTTTTATTTTGCCTAATCGCATTTTTTCCATTTGTAAATTGGTAATGGAGAACAGAGTTTTGACAGCATATTCCACTGTGCTTCTTTAGGTAATTGACTATTCTATTAAGATAATAGTATTTACTTTCTGATAACTCGAGAAACAGTCATTTTCTTGGCACATCCTAAATTTGAACCTTTCCGTGGCAATTTGGATCTTTAACTTTCTTTGACACATTTAAGATTTTGATCAAGATTGTGCTCAAACTGTTCAACTTCTGTAGAGAGCAAATCTCAAAAATTTTAGTGCAACAAATATGTTTGTAATTTATTACCATTTAAGGGAACAATGATTTAAAGAAAAAAAAATCAGTAATGCAAAGAGCCCTATTTTGGAAATTTTAAACCCTTGCTCCATGGGCCACTATAATCATTACCATCACGTGCTCCACCTCACAGGGTAGTCAATAATAAAATGGATATAAGAGAGTTTTATGGGCTTCCCCAGTGGCTCAGCGGTAAAGAATTTGCCTGCAATGCAGAAGATGCAGATTTTGATACCTGGGTTGAGAAGATCCCCTGAAGGAGGACATGGCAACCCACTCTAGCATTCTTGCCAGGAGAATCCCATGGACCAAGGAACCTGGTGGTCTCCAGTTCACAGGGTCAGAAAGAGTCGGACATGACTGAAGCGACTGAACATGCATGCAAGAGAGTTTTATAGTAGGCAGGTCCTTTATATGTTTAAAAGGGAAGCTATATTTTAAGTACCCACTAAGAGCATAGAAAATCATGCTCAATTATGACTTCAAGTGAGCATTTCAGCCAAATGGAATCTCCTTATGATGCAGTACTCAGAGTCTGGATCACTTGCTGGGTAAAAACAAAGTATGTTTTTTATATTCTAGAACCAGTCCTGTCAATAGCATTTGTGCCTCAGAAAGTTCTGATTCACTGGGCTGTGCACGTAGGAATAGGCTGGTTCGAAGGGAACTCCTTTTATTTTATTTTATTTTATTTTTTTCATTTATTTTTATTAGTTGGAGGCTAATTACTTTACATCATTGCAGTGGGTTTTGTCATACATTGAAATGAATTAGCCATGGATTTACATGTATTCCCCATCCCGGTCCCCCCTCCCACCTCCCTCTGGGAACTCCTTTTAATGCAAATATTTATTTTGCTCTCTGGAAACAAAGGATTACAGTGCCGGTAACTCAAGAAAAGGAGCTACAGGTTAGGTCTGCAGAGCAACCATGAACTGGGGGATAAGGTAATTTGGAGTTGAGTCTGGTTTGCACTTTAATTCAGGCCTCAGTATTGCATGACATAGAGTGATAGAAATACACTCTCATGGCATAGAAGGCCTTCCTTTGGGGGCCTGGGTTATTTATTCAGCACTATTCTAAATCAAGAGCAAAATGACTAAGCCTCATATTCACCAAGGCTGGGTGATTATGGCATAAACTTGGCAAGGAAAGCCAATGAGAAGGCAGGCAAAGATTGGGTGGGAGAAAGCTTAGTATCTCAGTGTGAGTTGTGGAGGCACGTTTAGTGCTGCTAAAAACCAGTCCTCTACTCATGGGTTTTATTGCTTCCTGGGACCTCTAATCCCATACCACCCCTGATCCAGCAACTTCTTGTCCTCCTTCTCTTTAAATAGTACATTCTGATTTGTTGTTGTTGTGGGTTTTTTTTTTTTTCTGTGTCTGCTTAATCATGTGACCTTTTGCCTGAGAAGGCAGCTTTCTCCTTATCTCTTCCATCCATGTCAGTTGGTAGCTAAGAGCTCCAGGCCCAGGAAGGCTGGAGTCCCCCTCCAGATGGAAGGGCTGACCTCAAGGTCAGCAGCAGCAGGAGTCGGGCCCATTCTGCAGTCTGAGATAGCCCACCCTGGGTACACCTGTTCAGGAGAGAAGGGTGACTGCGTTTTTCCTGCCTCTCCTCCATAAAGAAGCCTGGTCAATTTATTTGTGCTGCTCTTGGAAAACAACAACAACAAAGTTCATGCTACATTAAATATCTGGACCTCCCACATGATCATAAATCTCATACTAGGGGTGCCCTCTCTCTCCTTGTTTCTTTAATTGCAAGTGCTAATGAACTGAGGCCTGATGGATGATGCTTTTGGGGTGAAAAATATATTTGTTTTCATTTTCTCTGAAGTCCTGAACCTTGTCGTTTGCACGTGGACTTCTCCACAAATGTCAAAGTCTCTTATCTGCAGAACTTCCTGCACCTTCTTTGGCCTTTGTGAACCCATTACCCCTCTGAACTGAATTTGAAAAAAATCCTTTAAAATGAAAACCAAATCATCCATGTTTTTATTCTTTGTGGGGAAGGGTGGTGGTGGTGAGTAGCATGGCTTAAAAAGCAGATGGTCCTTTCTTTTCTTGCCTTTCTTCTCCATGTAGAATATTCAGGAAGGAGAGAGAGAAAGGGAGGAAAGATACATGAGGCTTGACTGTCACACTCTTTGAAAACACAGTTTTCAAGGACTTCCTGTTTCTTGTTTGGCTTTTCTTAGTCTGTATAGAAAATAGTTTGTGTGCATGTCTGTGTTGCGTGTGTCTATGTAAGAGAGTGAGACTGACTTACAATGAAAATCACATATGAAATAAAACCCAACATTTAGCTCTTAGATGTATCTGAGTGAACAGATATATGCAAGCATCAACTGATTAATGAGTGGCTCTTCATTGTGTGTTAACTGCTCTCTAATCAATTAGCACAGAATTAACGAGGGCCCTAGTTATATTCGAGTGTCTATCTTAAGCAATCACTTACATAAAACTGCTGCCACTGGGTTAAAGGCATTAGTAGCCATCTTGTAGATGAGAACAGATGTGAGTTTCACAAACAGAGCCGCAAGTGTGAGCCACATATGTAGTTTTAACATTTTCTAGTAGCTCCATTAAAAACGCAAAAGAAAGGGTGAAATTAATTTTAATGGTGTAGTTGATTCAACTCAGCCTACCCAAAATATTATCATTTCAACATGTAATCAATATAGTTATTAATGAGATATTTAACATTTTGGGGTATTAACTTTTTTTGGGGGTATTAACTTTTAAAAACCTGGTGTGTGTTGGACACTTATTGTACACCTCCAATCAGACTGGCCACATTTCAAGTGCTCAAGAGCCACATGTGGATTGGCTGTTGCATTGGACAGTAGGACTAGCATCGCACTGCTGTCCCTCAGGATTGAGAAGATCCCCCTAGAGCGCATGTGTGCTTTTGTTGTTATAAGAGAAAACAGAAACCAAACACTGCATGTTACTTGAGTACTGCAGTGTTTCCCCGTGTGCAGGACACTAGGACCAAGAGCTGCCCTGTGAAAAAATAGATTTGGTGATGAAATCAGTTCAGTTCAGTCACTCAGTCGTGTCCGACTCTTTGCGACCCCATGAATCGCAGCACACCAGGCCTCCCTGTCCCTCACCAACTCCCGGAGTTTACTAGGGAAGTTCTATTCTTTTATCCCCTTTTTGGAGATTTACGTGGTATGCTAACATGTCATAGACTCCGAAAAAACTCTTCTGGGTAAAGAAACCAGTGTGCAGCTGTTGAGTTCTGTGTTTATAAGGTTCTACCTCCGGATGGTGGCTGTTACCCAGCTACCACTATAAAAACATGGTTAGTCTGGCATCATATGTTTATGGTATGCTTATAATATTTATTTTTCTGCAGAGGTGTTTTAACACCCCTCCCCCTCCCCACATCACATTAAAGATACCAGAACAATGTCCCTGACTATTAATCCCTACTAATTATCTTGCCCTCACAAAGATGTAAGGTCATTCTTTAGTACACTTCTGGGAAAAAGAATTCTGGAAATTGCCACAAGGTCTCTGCATGAGAAAAACTTTGTGTCTTCCCTTCCTTCTCAATTCTCTTTGGAGCTAGCTCTACTTATTCTTTGTATTCAGAATCACCCAAGAGCTAAGATATGTCTTCTTGTTCTAGAACCACCTACTAAGTTGAAACCAGCAGATGGCTATAATGTCTTGCACGTGGACACAGATCTTCAGAAAGTACCCCAATACATACCTTCCTCTCATTCTTTCAGAAATGATGAGCTCTACCAAGATGAGGGGAGAAACATCAGAACATGTATATGTGTAAACATAGAATACAGTTTCATAAGTAGAGTAATACTGTTCCTGCTAATACTTTCTTTAAAAATATTTTGTGTGTGGTGTTCCTCTACTTGCTTTAATGTGTACTGTTACTGTAAAGTGTGTGAAGTAGTTGTGACTTAGCGATCAGTTTGAAGAAGATATACACTATACTTGACAACTGTCAACCTTCAGCAAGTGATCTTTTTGCCTTTGTTTAAGTGGGAAGTCTGATGCTGCCCCTGTAAGTTTTGTTTTATGATCTGTGCTTAAGTGGCAATTACCAATTAAATAACTTCTGCCGCTGAATTTGGCCCAAGTTGACTGTAGTAACCCTTCTATGTGGATGTATTTAAATAAGATTAAATGATTCGTTTTGCCTCCTTTTTTTAAGACTTTAGTTTTTCAATATTAGAGATGTCTTCTGAAGACTCTAGTAGCAGTCGAATCCCTTTGCTCTTGAAAATGAAGATTATATACCATGAGGTTTTATATAGACTTTCCAGATGTAGAAGGGGAACATTCTAAGTGCAAAAGTTTGGTTTTAGAATCTGTCTGATTTCGGAAGAGCAGTCCATTCTCTAAAAAGGTAACAGCCTTCCCAATTTTGAACATCTGGGGGAGCTCTACTTGGAAGGGAAGTATGAATTAGTCTCATGGATTTAATGGCGCTAAATTAACATTTTTCAAATGGATTTTGTAGTAGAATCCAATTATTAGAGGAAGTCACTTGGTTGCAAAGCCATGTACTAGAGAATAGTCAAACACCATGTGCTAGTTTTGGAATGTGCATTTCCAAAGTGAATAGAATTTACTTCACCAAAAAGATTTTACACAATTCATGATACTTACAGAAATATGATTGTATCATTGGAGAAAAAAGCTCACCTCTCTAAATGCTACATTTCACATTCACTAGTAAACTAGTGTAATTCCTTAATCATTTGGGGGGATACAAAAGAATAATCTGTCAATAGAATAGAACTGCTTATTCCTAACTGTATTTAGGAATGAATACATACTATAATTCAAGAGACTTGGGTTCAATCCCTGGGTCGGGAAGATCCCCTGGAGGGGAGCATGGCAACCCATTCCAGTATTTTTGCCTGGAGAATCCCATGGAAAGAGGAGCCTGGTGGGCTACAGTCCCTGGGGTTGCAAAGAGTCAGACATGACTGAAGTGATTTCACATGCATGCATGATTTAAGATATTACTGGATTTTGAAGAACTGCTCAATAAATTAGTAGTAGTAATAAAATTGTACTCTTTTTACAATGCATTTGCCTCAGCACACATGCAGAGTTAAAAACATAAATTTATTTTAAAATACACCAAATAACACAGGTTATTATGACTTTAAAAGCCTAATTTCTAATAGCATTAAATCCAACACCAGTTATATGTTGTATGTAACTAAAATTTTGAAAGCATTGCACACAAAATGAGAGACTTATTCAAAAATGCCTTTTTTTCTTTTTGCCAAAAACAGGTTCTACAACCTATTGCTAATTATTATATTCCTTTAGGGGTACTTTGAGGCGCTTTCAAAGACATATTTGTAGCAGTTACATCTAAATTTAGAGCAGAACATTGTGTCAGATATTTTGCTATATCACAAAATGTTGTAGTACTGTATTTTATAATAAAACCAAATTCTCAAGTATTCTGGTATATTACATATTATTATGCCAAAAAAAAACCCACTTTCTAGAAGTCTGTTATTGTGTACTTAGTATTTCAAGAAAATAATGGGTATTTCAGTCAGAGCAAGAAAGTATAATGCAATACATGACATTCAATTGATCTTTAGTCACAATCCATTTAGGTATTTGACAGAGAAACTAGCAATCACAAGCTCGAATGCATACATTATTCTCAAGGACAAAATGGCAAACACTTAATACACAAAGACACGGTCACTGGGGCAAGTTAGCTGGTGCCTGGTGGAACAGGATCAACTTGCCAATCAATGCTCATTGGATTTTAGCTTTTGTTATTGGTTGCTCCTCGCGGGGGAAGTGCTACAGGTCAGTTGATGTCGCCTCCCCTTCGCGTGGGGGATTTGCTTACAAGCCAGTGCATGGTATAATGAATTCTCTGGAAGCAGGGTTGAGTCAGAAGCTTAGAGATGCACCTTACTGTCTTTAAAACTGCTGTTATACAATGTTCTAAACACTGTGATCTTTCCAAATGTATTTTCTGTATTAGTTTTGTACTGTTAGAAAATAATACACCATAAACTGGACTCTATAGTGTTGAAAGCAATGTTATTTATTGGCTTATCACCCCCTGCCGATTTATGTACAGTCTACTTAATATAAAACCTGTGATAATCCTTTGCCTTAAAAATAAAATCTAATGCTAAATATTGAGTGTGCTCTAACATAATTTTAAGCTACAAGTTAATTTTTCCTTTAAAAGTTAAGATGGTGTCAAATAAAATATCAAATGAATACTTTATGGAGTGTGGCTGCCTATTCTGTACTTGTGACAGTGTGTGTATCTTGATCCAGAACATGATGACCCGCTGGGTGCTATAAATAGATATTAGTAATCCTTTTAGAGAATGGGCCTGGCACTTCTCAGCTATGGGCTGACTACCTCCCCTTAACCCTTATAAATAGATTTTCCCATGCCACAGAAGAATGAAGAAAAACAGTCCTTCATGTTCTCTCTCTACATATTTTGTCTTGATTCCTCTTGAATCTTCACATTCTATTTGTGTTGCCATCATATTCCTAAATAGAAAAATGCCAGAGATGCCTGAAAATGGATGAAATCACCTAATTTCAGTGGGGAAAGGGATCTCAGAATTATTCAAGTCCAATCTCTTATGGAACAGGTTAGAACTCGAGTTGTAGAGATTTAATGAAGGCTCAAGCTCTGAGCGACAGAGGGAGGGGGGCTGAACCCATCCTAATGTCCAGAAGGCTGTCACCGATCCAGTGAGTGAAAGGCCATTGTGTTAGTCTTGGGGCTGGCCCACAGCAGAGGGAGGTATGGCGTGGCCTAGAAAATCGTTTCCTTATTAGGTCTTGGTCTTCGGCGGGCTGAATTAGTCAGTTATGGAGGAATATATCAATATTTTTGAAAGCAGGTTTTCTGGGAAGGAAAGCGTTAGCTCTTAGGGATTACCATGATGCTCTTTCACTTGGAAGCAATGCTTCAGACTTGGTCGGGTGAAAAGGTACATTCCGGGTGCGTGACGATATACTTGCACTTTGAAAAGCATCTGCGGGCTCTGCTTATTTTTTTTAAGTGACCGGAAACGCTGATCCTTTGAGGGATTCGGCGTTATTGAGGTCCAGAAAACAGAGCCCGGGCTGGAAAGGCATCCTGATCCCAATTCCGGGTCCCGCGGGGCTGCAGGTTTTTGAAGGGATGTGAAGGTTTCCCACAGAAGCGTCGACCAAGGGGCTTTAGGACCCAGCGGCTGCGCGCGGGGCCGGCGGGGCCCGCCGCCTCCGGTGCGGCTCGGCGCGGGCGGTCGCCGGGCGCTGGTTCGCGGCCCGCCCGCGGCTCGTCGCCGCAGAGACGCGACGGGCGCTGAGGCGCGCGGGCGGCGCTCGGTGCGTGTGGGCGTGTCCCGCCCCGGCCGCGCGCCCCGCCCCAGCCCCGCCGGGTCGCTCGCCCCCAGGCCCAGCTCCAGCGCCCGGGCCCCGCGCCCTCGGCGGGCAGCGCAGAGCGCGGGAGCAGTTGGGGCCGGGCATGCCGGGAGCCCCCGGGGCAGCCGCCGCCGCCACCGCCACCGCCACCGCCACCGCCACCGCGTCCGCCGCCGGTGCGCGCCGCTGACGCGCGGAGATGAAATTCCCGGGCTCGGTGCTGGCGTCCGTGTTCCTGTTCGTGGCCGAGACGTCGGCGGCGCTGTACCTGAGCAGCACCTACCGCTCGGGCGGGGACGGCATGTGGCAGGCGCTGACGCTGCTGTTCTCGCTGCTGCCCTGCGCTCTGGTGCAGCTCACGCTGCTCTTCGTGCACCGCGACTTCACCCGCGACCGGCCGCTCGTGCTGCTGCTGCACCTGCTGCAGCTCGGTCCCCTCTTCAGGTGCGTGCGGGGCCCCCGGCGGCGGGGGCCGGTGGCCGGGGTCGGGGACGGGGGCCCAGGCCGGCCCGCCCGGCTCCTCCGCTCCGCCACCGTCCCTGTCACAGGAATGCGACAGGAACCTGGGAGCGTGGGAATGGAGCCGGGGCGTACCGCCTTCCTGTTAGGGGCTAGCGTTGGAAATTGCCGACAGTCGACTGAATTTGACCAACGGGAAAGGGCCAGTTCGGGCCCCTCAACCCTCACCGCGACCTGGTGGGCTCTGGCAGGATGAGCTCGGGTCGCGACGGGGCCTTAGGAAGGGGGTTCTGAATGGCCGTTAGAATCGAAGTGGGCACAGTTGATTGAATTGAATTGAAATTGAACAAACACGTGGACTGGACTGTACTCGGCGCTGTTCTGAGCTCGGTCACAAATACTAATTTATGTAATTCTTAAACACGACCCTACAAATCCACGCATCCGTCTTTTCTGTCCGATGTGGAAACATGGAGGGGGGAGGGCGGGGGGTGGGGAGCGGAGTAGAAACGTCTTCAGGGCCCTGCCTGACTTAGCCGATGAAGCTGGAACACAAGTGCCACGGAGACCCCAACTCTTGCTGTGTGTAAAGAGAAAGAAAAAAAAACTATTAGTGACATTTCTGGAAATTTAGGAACACAAAGCAAGTTAAAAATTTTCTGGCAATGAAGGAGAGTTTGGTTTATCCGAGGACCATAAAGAGAGTTTAAAATGCGTTGTTTTGAAACCTCTCATCTCTGTAGGAAAAGCGAAACGAAGGGTTTCTCTCTGGATTAGAAACAAATTTATAATAATGAACTTTAGATATAGGTGGGAGAGAAAAGGGAAGAGGTAGAAAGGCCAGACACTCAGCTGCCAGAAAATTCAACCAGCTGGGAATCTTTCCTACCAGGAAATATCTCCCCAACCAACACGTCACACACACACACAGCAAAATATCTCCCCCACCAACATACCACACACACACACATTCGAGTAGCAAAATAGATTTTACAGAGCCCTATATACACACACAGTCAAGTAGTAAAATAGATTTTACAGGGCCCTATTATAAAACTTTGAATTTCATATTAGAGACAGTCATCCCAGCTGACACTCAGAATACTGACTTGTAGCTTACATAGTATCAGAATAAACCTGGTGAACAAGTTTCCCAGCCTCGAAAGCCACAGACTCCTATAGAGGAAGAGAAACAGGTGCTCTGGTGGGAGTAAGAAGTTGCTACCAACCTCATGAGAGCAAGGGGTTGGGGGGAGAACAGAGAGAGAGAAGAAAGTGAGAGGAATTTTAAAAGCCCTGCGACCTGGGGCCATAGAAGGAGTGAGTCCTCCCTGGCCAAGTAGGCCGCAGTGACCTGATTGTTTGCCCACTCAGTAGGATCAATGTGCTCTACTTGGACAAGGCACTCATCATTTCTTAGCTCCATCTTGTGAAAAGAAAGTTCATTGCCCATGCTATTTGAGTAAAGTGACAGAGAAAGGGAAACTGGCAGTTGTTAAATGCCTCTTGTGCTAAATGTAGGTAGGTCTCAGTTCATTGACTCCTCACCATGAAGTAGATATAATTGTTCCCATTTTACAGATGAGGAAAATGAGACCCCACATCACATTCACAAGGCTTCTTACAAGTGGAATTGGCTTAATTATGTGAAAGAAGTCTGAGGAGTGTGGAGTGTGTTTTATCTATAGTTCCATCTTAAGTTAAGAAAGTTTGGTCATCTTGGCAAAATTGAAAAGACACAACCTAAATTGCCATCTTGGTAAATGAGAATACCCTATCAGTACTAGCATTTAAAATGTTACTGAGTGACCCAAGACAAAGCTAATGACATAATAGTATGTATAAAAACAGGTTGGCACACATAGACCTAAGCTCAGAGAAATATACCAAGTTGTTAAGAGTGGTAATTTCAGGATGATGGAGTTACGGGGCAGTTTTCATTTTTTTCTGAAAAATATAGAAAAGTACATCATTTACTCTTATATTTGTCTACATTTTTCGGTTTTTAACCATAAAAATATTTTAACTTTATTTAAAAAAAGAGAAAGTTTGGTGCTTTGGAGCAATAACTTCTCAACTGATATATACATATGAAGTTTCAACACTGAAAAGAGACCTATTTCCAGAAAATTCTGAATAGGTCATTGTGCTTTGGGGGAAAAAACAGAATAACACATAAAAAAAGGAACAAACAACCTACTTCCTTCAACAAGGGCACTCATTCTAGCGCAGCTTTCTTTAAGAAGATGCTGGAACCATGCTGAGATACACAAAATGTGGTTCCAAGCCTCTTATCTTCCAGATGAAAAGAAAAGCAATTTGATGTTGTGTGTTAGCATGACTTAATATCTTATTGAAAGTTCTTCCTGCTGTTTGATTTTATTCTAACTCTAAGACGTCAGCTTTACATAAAGATCAAAATTATTTCCGCCAAACACAGGAGAGTCTCTCTGCCCGTCTTATCGATTGGACTTAGTAATATTTTAAAACTGTTTGGGGAAAATTTAGCTCTCTTTAATTTGGGATGGGTACTAACTAGCCAAACGCCTGTTCTTTTGAGGTGAGGTGTTGGTTTTGGATTCACTCAGTTCAGTCTCATTTCATTACATTGTAATGATGGTGGACTAAACACCACAGACTAGGCCTTGCTCCTCCTTTCATGTAGGGAGGCTTTGGGAGAGCAGCATGTTTCATTTATATCAGCCTCATATTTAAAACTGTGGTTGCAGTTTGAAGAATTGTTTCCTCATGAAGGCTAGGTTGGAATGATAGGAACATTAAATAATGTCTTGAATTTCTGTTTTTCTGTTATAAGGCTAATCTTATTGTGAATGATAATAGACATTCTGGAAAACCAGAGTTGGGGGGGAAGCACCTCTTAACAACAAACAAAATTTCTTTCTCATTCTTTTACAATTATGTTCATTTTATAAATTAATTGGGAGAAGGAATAAATATAAACGAGTTACAGGTGCAATGAATTTGCCCCCATTCTTATTTAGTGGTATAATGAAGGAAAAATGGTACCTAAAAATCTAGGTTTATAAAATAAAAGCTAAGAAGTTCTAGTAATTTTTTTTATTCAAGTATAGTTGATGTACAATGTTATATGTTACAGTTGTACAATATGGTGATTCACAATTTTAAAGGTAATGCCCCATTTATAGTTATTATTATAAAATATTGGCTATATTCCCCATGTTGTACAGTATATTCTTGTAGCTTATTTTATACCTGAGTTTGTACCTCTTAATCTCCTACCCCTATATTGCCTTTCTCCCTTCCTGCTCCCTATTGGTGACCACTAGTGTGTTCTCTGGATCTGTGAGTCTAGTATTTTTGACAGACCATTGCAAAATGATTTATTGCAATGAAAAACACTGCAAAATACCATAGTATTTCTCTCTTTTGTAAACTTTGAGAAGACTTTAAAAATAATGATAGCCTAAATATGAATAGCTTTTTTGTTGTTGCTTGCAAAGTGCTTTCACATACAGTATATAATTCCATGCACTGTAAAACATTGTGAGCTAACTGTCATTATCTTTTTTTACAGTTGAGAATTGAGGCTCAGTGAGATTACGCAAGTGGCTTTTCAGAAGTCACAGGGAGCTTTCTATTTAACCGGTTTGGTTCTTGCGTAGCTTCACAGAGCATGTATGTCATAGGAAGATAACGTGGCATAGAGGAAATCATAATCAGTATTTCTTTTGAAAATGTGTTTTTAGTAACTACCTCAGAGGGTCTCTGGTACCACAGATTATTTATGCAGACGCCAACATGCATGGTTTCAGCTAATTAATAAACTGCTTCCATTATGATGTTTGAAAATGGGATAAAATGAAAATAAAAAAGGATCAACCTCCTGATTACCTACATTAAGGATCAGCAAACCATGCCCCACATTGATATCCCCTTACTGCCTGTTTTTGTAAAGTTTTATTGGAACACAGGCATGCCCATTCACTTTTGTGTTGTCTGTGGCTGCTTTTGCATTACAGTGGCAGTGTTGAGTAGCTGCAATAGAGACCATGACCTGCAAAGCCTGAAATATTTACTCTTTGTAAATACACAAAATGTTTGCCAACCCTTGGTCAGACTGAAAAACTACCTTGAATGATTGTGATGAAAATACTTAATTTATGGCTACATTTAGGCAACTTCTCAAGTAAAACAAAACAAAAACATTTGGAGTAACTGGATGAATCTTGCAGAATCCCAGAAAGAATAGTAGAGTGTTTCTTATCAGTTTTCTTAACCAGTAGTGGCAAATAGTGGAAGTCTTAGGGCCTTTCACAAATTCATTAAATACCTACTACATGTAAACTTCTGTGCTAAGATTTTTATTAGTTGAGAAAGACAGTGAATTGCAGGGGGGCACACCTGGGTTTCCCAGAGAAGGAAGTGGCAACCCACTCCAGTATTCTTGCCTGGAGAATTCCATGGACAGAGGAGCCTGGTGACCTGCAATCCATGGGGTCGCAAAGAGTCAGGCATGACTGAGCCACTAACACACACACCTGGGTTTCAGGGCCACTTCTGTGATTAGTTTATTCTGGGACCTTCCTTTGTTTCCACTGTAAACAAAGAAGTCTCATTTGTCTATAATTCTGCGAATACTTTCCATTAAACACAGCCTTCTCCTCATTATCCAGAGACTTGCTTTTTCCACTGGACCTTCATTTTATTCATTCATCTCTTAATATGTGCTGTTGTTTCATTTGCTTGTTTGTCATTAAAAATTCTAAGCTTGATTTTACTATTCAGGTAAAACATATTTGTTGTTGGAAGGGCAGAAAACAGATAAGCACAACTAAAAAAATTTTAAAGCTCTAATTTGACTAACTAAAGAGAACAATTCTTAATATTTTGTTTTATATCCTCACTAATATTTTTACAGTCATTAAGTTGGTAAACCATGAACCATCTAGGGGGAGGGAGGGGATGTGGGAAGGAAGACCCTGATTTGTAGTCTTTGCTGATTTCTGTGATTTAAAGATTTCCATTGTGGCCTATTTCAAGCCACTGAGTTGTTTGAAAACTGCCTCACAAAATTCCTAACCATTTAACTGTCTCATGAGTCAGTATGAGTCAGCTGAAGCACTCCACTGTTTATGTGTGTATGTGTGTGTATTCATATGTATATGTAATTTTCTTTTTATTAAAAATGGAATTTTCTATGTATTTTCCATTTAATACATTACTCCTTTTGCTTACCAAATATGATAAAAAAAATTTGTATGTCAGTATATGTATGTGTATACTGTCAATTTTAAGGACTGGATAATATTTCATTGAACATACATATTAGGATTTATTTAATCATTGTTTTGTTTAGGGACCTTTAGAGTTTTCCCAGAACTTTGCCATTAAAAATGGTATGATTCAAATTTTTGTAGTAGCCTTTCTTTCTAAGTGAGTTAATCTATGAGAAATATCTTACAAACTGAAAGTGTTACATAAATATTACTTATATTAATTAGGTCCCTTTTTTTTTGTTTAGATTATGTACATGTCTGAATGAGACAGTGGTGTGCAACTATCTTTACATTCCCCACAGCACTTAGCAAAGTGCATCCACATTTGTTACGTATTTGAGAATAAAGACAATGGTCAGTTTATTCTGTCTTCTAGTGCTTGTGGTCAGTGGTCCAACTGTGTCAAGTTACAAGGCCTCATACAGTCATAGATCTCAGTTTTTCCTCAGAGAAGATTCAGTTGGATCAGCTAGACTTAGCTCAAAACCTTGAACTTCATTGTTTTCAGCTAAACAAGTTGATCCACATTGTTTTTCATGTTTTCATGTAATATATTGGGGCTTTCCTTATAGCTCAGTTGCTAAGAATCTGCCCGCAACGCAGGAGACCCCAGTTCGATTCCTGGATCGGAAAGATCCGCTGGAGAAGGGATAGGCCACCCACTCCAGTATTCTTGGGCTTCGCTTGTGGCTCAGCTGGTAAAGAATGCGCCTGCAATGTGGGAGGTCTGGGTTCGATCCCTGGGTTGGGAAGATCCCCTAGAGAAGGGAAAAGGCTACCCACTCCAGTATTCTGGCCTGGAGAATCCCATGGACTAAGCAGTCCATGGGTTGCAAAGTGTCAGACACAGCTAATATATTAAAGTATCTGTGACCCCAGTGGACAAAATGTAGCATGTAGCAGACAATTGCCTTTCCCTCCCCACCCCCTTGCGCAAACCCCCTTGTACCTCTTTTTCTCCCAGGAACAAATGAACAAAGATAATCACAAAATATATCCACTTTGTACTCACTAAAGAAAGAAGGTCCTGCATTTCCTTTCTTATGTCAGGTTTTACTTTAGTATTTCGAATTATACATGAATTCTCATTTCCTTGGTTGCCTCCAGGTGAGAGTACAAAGTTAATAACACTCAATAAAATAAATGAAGCCATAAAATCTTCTGGCAGCATTATAAGGTTGTTATAAAAATGCACATTTGGGGGAAAATGTTTAACAATTTTGAAACCTAAAGCCATGAACATTTTTTATTACTAGGAAAAAAACATTTTCCCCAATATCTTGTTATGAAAATTTTTGAACATACAGAAGACAACTTGAAAGAATTGTACAAGGAACAACCAAGTACTTGCCACCTAGATTCTACAGTTAACGTTTTATTTCACATATCTCTCCATCCCTCTATCAGTTCCTCAGTCCACTTGTAAGTATGTGTGTGTGTGTGTGTATGTGTGTAAATTGTATATATCAGTACTCTTCCTCTCTTCACTATTCATATTATTATCTATAGAAGAAAATCCAGTTTTAAAAGCCAGCTACTCTATCAGTCTAGAAAGGTGACTGGTTCAGGCTCCATCCTCGAGCAAGCTTGAAACTCCATAGATAAGACAGTTGGCAGGCTTCCAGGCATGATTGACTTTAGTCCTGTTCTGAAAAGGTTTAAGAGAGCAGAAATAGGTAATGTGGTCTTCCAGGGGAATTTCTAGGTGGGAGGCTGCTCTGTGCTGGGGGATCTCCCAACCACAGCTGCTGTTTTAAACTGAAGTGATTTGGGGCATCTGTTGGCTCTAGAAAAAGTATATGTGCATATATATATATAATATGTGTGTGGGGGTGGGTGTTGTATATACATGCACACGCACACACCCCCATATACTGCATTATCTCCATGACTGTGGCAAAGTAGGTCCTATCTTTGCTTTATAATTCAGGGACAGAACTTGGGTTAAAAGACATGTCCAAGGCTGCACAGCTAATAAATGTCAGGAAGGGAAATGGAATGTTTTCTGGAGCTCTGGAGCCTGAACCAGTTCCCATGCCATTCTCTACTTGGTTTCCTTGCCTTAGTGGCCTTTGGCATCACCTCTCAATGTGGTTCATGCTCAGGCCAGTTGGCCTGCTGGAGGGCCTCAAGAAGACTGTGTGCTCACAACTGGTCCTTAGAGAGGATGATTTTAGTGGCGGGGGTGGGGGTGGGGGAGTTGCAGTCCAGAGTAACCAAGTCAAGGCTTTGAGAATCAGGCTAAGTGAAAGTGGGGTAACTGAGAAAAGACAGGATCCTGTCTGCCTCTGATGATCATGACTTGCTGGTTTGTTTCCAGGTGTTTTGAAGTCTTATGCATCTATTGTCAGTCAAACCACATTGAAGAACCTTATGTCAGCATCACCAAGAAGCGGCAAATGCCAAAAAATGGCCACTCAGAGGAAATTGAGAAGGAAGTGGGCCAGGCAGAGGGCAAGTTATTCACCCACCGATCTGCATTCAGCCGGGCATCGGTGATCCAGGCTTTCCTGGGCTCAGCCCCCCAGCTGACCTTGCAGCTGTATATAAGTGTCTTGCGGCAGGATGTCAGTATTGGACGAGGTATGTGTATTTTTTATTTCTGCTTGCATTTGGGAAGCGTGGAGAGCAAAACATACGGTCTCTTTTGTTTCAGGTGAAATTCATTTCTATGCACCTTCCGTCCGAAGTCTGTTAGAGTTACTAAGCTCAAAACGTAGTGAGTTAAAATAATTGTGTTTCTTTTGCTTATGAATCTGCAGTTGAGGCAGCTCTCAAAAGCGCTCACTTCGGCTCCACTGTGGTTAACTGGGGTGGCTCAAAGATGGGGAGTTGGAGTCCACTGAGGGCTCATCTGCTCACAGTTCTTAACGTCAGTGCTGGCTGTTGCTGGGGCCTCAGATCTTCCCCACTTGCTCTCTTTATGTGGGATAGTTTGAGCCTCATCACAGCATGATGGCTGCTTTCAAGAGTGAGTATCCTGAGAGGGAGAAAGGGCCAGGTGGAAGGGTATCCCTTTTGTGATCCGGTTTTGAAGTCATGCAACATTACTTCTGCTGCCATTTTCTTTGTTGATACAGCCAGGAACCCTGTCGAGGTTCAAGCCAAAGGGAAGAAAGGAAACTCTGACTTTTGCTGGGGAATGGCCACAGTCTAGAGGTTCCAGGCAATCCAACTTGCTGTACATAGGCTGAAAGGATGGCTGCCAGGGGCTGGGCCTCTTCAGATTGTGCCTCTGTCACTCAGCAATAGTTGTAAAGCAGCTGAGACAGTTGTAACAGCTTCTTTGTGATGAATGAGGGCATCAGGAGTTCCTTCCTGTCTTCTTGTAGTTCTAATAGATATCTCCTCTTTAAAATAAACACACTTCTCTAACCTTTGGACTAGTCTCACATCATCAAATTGAGGGCAGGTTTTGATTAAGCCAGATTTTAAAAAAAAACTGCACATGCATTGGACACAAGTGAAAACCTTCATATGAAAAGAGGAAATAATCCTTTGCAAATATTAATATTGTAAGTAAATGAAAACCAGGTATTCTGGCAAGTTTTACTATACAGATAAGCAAAAATGAGTTAAAAGCCTTAAGTTTAAAAATACATATTTAAGATAACAGTGAAATTGGAATATTTAAAAATAAATCACCCTTATTAATTTAACTTCCCTCAGTCTTCTTTCTGCCTCTAATCTAGGCTGGATGGTAAAATGTCTTTAATTTATGGCTGAGTCACAGGATATTTGTATATCACAACTGTCTCCCTTATCCAGGTTACATAAGAGTGACTATGATTCTTAAGATATATCAGAACTTTAAGTTGAGGTCTCGGACCTTGGTGGATTAACATTTGTGAAAACACCTTCCACAGCCCCAGGTAAACAGTAGATGCTCAATAAATGCAGCAACATCCTTGTTTTCTAGGGACTTACAACTAGAATGGGCATTGACCAAGGTGAGTCCTCTGCATGCCAATATACCCTTTACCCAGTTCATTATTTTTCTATGTGGCAGGAACACAGCAAGAGATCAGATGCGGTGATAGCCAATTTGATTTTTACATGTCAATTCAATTTTTTTTCTCAAGTTACTGAAAATGAAGTTGTCTTTTAGCTCAGAGGTTGGCAAACAGCAGCCCATGGATGTAATCAGGGGGTGCTTGTTTTTGTAAATAAAATTTTATTGGAATGCAGCCATGCCCTTTGATTTACCTGTTGTCTGTGTCTGCCTTTTTTTTCCCTTTGAGCAGAGTTGAGTAGTTGCATAGTTGTAGCAGAAAATAAGTGGTCCACAAAGCATAAAGTATTTATTGTCGGACTCCTTACAGAAAGTTTGCCAACCCTCATTACAGTTTTTCAGATGGAATTCTATTCGGGAAGATGAAACCTATCTCATAAAATGTCAGTGTCACAAAGAATATCTGTAACATGCCCCTCGAGAACTTGGAATAATATAAGTCCCCTGAGAATTAAACGATTAATATGTATAGAGAAAGGAAGTGGGCATGGTCCTCTTAAAAATATAGATAACTGCCATTTTTATAGGTTTTGACTAACCATAATCACTGCCTTAGCATATCTGAGGAAGGAATCTCTCAGCTGGAAGGGGAAGGGTAGTTATAATTAGAGCACAGGCTGGGGTGTGTCATGGAGGCCAACATGGGCAGTAACTATCATATGATTAGGAATGCATTTGGTGCACGAAACAAAACACTTGACTACAAGGTTAGACAGCCCATTATTTTGCTCATTTAAGAAGAAACTGGAGTTAGGCCTTTGCTGGCATTATATCAGCTGCTCACACTGATAAAGTTGATGTCCCTACAGTTCCATTGGCCTTTCTTTTGGGTTGCTACTGCATAGAATCCATGATAGCTTCATTCAAGGTAGGAAGAAAAGCATGAAGCAGAAGGGGGAATGTCTTTCTTCCTTTAGTTAGTTCAGTCGCTCAGTTGTGTCCAGCTCTTTGCAACCCCATGGACTGCAGCACACCAGGCCTTCCTGTCCATCACCAGCTCCCAGAATTTACTCACACTCATGTCCATAGAGTTGATGATGTCATCCAACTATCTCATCCTCTGTCGTCTCCTTCTCCTCCCGCCTTCAATCTTTCCCAGCATCAGGGTCTTTTCAAATGAGTCAGTTCTTCGCATCAGGTGGCCAAAGTATTGGAGTTTCAGCTTCAGCATCAGTCCTTCCAATGAATATTCAGGACTGATTTCCTTTAGGATGGGCTGGTTGGATCTCCTTGTAGTTCAAGGGACTCTCAAGAGTCTTCTACAACACCACAGTTCAAAAGCATCAGTTCTTCAGCACTCAGCTTTCTTTATAGGCCAACTCTCATATCCATTCATGACTACTGGAAAAACCATAGCTTTGACTAGACAGACCTTTGTTGGCAAAGTAATGTCTCTGCTTTTTAGTATGCTGTCTAGGTTGGTCATAACTTTTTTCCAAGGAGCAAACATCTTTTAATTTCATGGCCGTAGTAACCATCTGCAGTGATTTTGGAGCCCAAAAAAGTTAAGTCTGTGACTGTTTCCATCGCTTCCCCATCTATTTGCCAAAAAGTGATGGGACCAGATGCCATGATCTTAGTTTTCTGAATGTAGAGTTTTTTTTTTTCCTGGAAGGTAATGTTTTATTATTGCATCTCCTAATTTACATCATGTATTTTTATTTTTTATTTATTTTTTTTCCATTTATTTTTATTAGTTGGAGGCTAATTACTTCACAACATTGCAGTGGGTTTTGTCATACATTGACATGAATCAGCCATGGAGTTACATGTATTCCCTATCCCGATCCCCCCTCCCACCTCCCTCTCCACCCGATTCCTCTGGGTCTTCCCAGTGCACCAGGACCAAGCACTTGTCTCATGCATCCCACCTGGGCTGGTGATCTGTTTCACCATAGATAATATACATGCTGTTCTCTCAAAACATCCCACCCTCGCCTTCTCCCACAGAGTCCAAAAGTCTGTTCTGTACATCTGTGTCTCTTTTTCTGTTTTGCATATAGGGTTATCATTACCATCTTTCTAAATTCCATATATATGTGTTAGTATACTGTAATGTTCTTTATCTTTCTGGCTTACTTCACTCTGTATAATGGGCTCCAGTTTCATCCATCTCATTAGAACTGATTCAAATGAATTCTTTTTAATGGCTGAGTAATATTCCATAGTGTATATGTACCATAGTTTCCTTATCCATTCGTCTGCTGATGGGCATCTAGGTTGCTTCCATGTCCTGGCTCTGATAAACAGTGCTGTGATGAACATTGGGGTGCACGTGTCTCTTTCATATCTGGTTTCCTCAGTGTTTATGCCCAGAAGTGGTATTGCTGGGTCATATGGCAGTTCCAGTTCCAGTTTTTTAAGAAATCTCCACACTGTTCTCCATAGTGGCTGTACTAGTTTGCATTAGTTAGTTTGCATTAGTATTGCTGGGTCATATGACAGTTCTATTTCCAGTTTTTTAAGAAATCTCCACACTGTTCTCCATAGTGGCTGTACTAGTTTGCATTAGTTTGAATGTAGAGTTTTAAGCCAACTTTTTCACTTTTCTCTTTCACTTTCATCAAGAGGCTCTTTAGTTCTTCTTCACTTTCTGCCATAAGTGTGTGGTATCATCTGCATATGTGAAGTTATTGATACTTCTCCCAGCAATCTTGATTCCAGCTTGTGCTTCATCCAGCCCAGCGTTTCTCATGATGTACTCTGCATATAAGTTAAATAAGCAGGGTGACAATATACAGCCTTGATTTACTCCTTTCCTGATTATTAGTAAGTAAAAGCTTTCCCAGAAACCTCGCTAATAAACCTCATTTAGATCTCATTGACCAGGCCTGGTCACATGGTCACCTTGTTTCAAGAAATGCTAGAGAAGCTGGGCATAGGAACAGTTACAACCAGTGGCTTTGAACAGCATTTCTTCAGCTTCCCTGGTGATGATGTCACTGAAGGTGAGAGCCAGGGAGCTTGTTAAAAATCTATAGAAAACCAGGCTTCATTCTCAGAAATTGTGATTTGCTAGGTGTGGGATGGTAGCCTAAGATAGGTCTTTTGATCTTTTTTCTCTTTTGTTTTTTAAACAAGTGCTCCTGGTAATTTTTATGTTTAGCAAAGTTTGGGAATACTGGACTAGATAAGTCACAGCCTGCCTAGGGCTGGGCCCATTGCCACCCACAACAAAATTATGTTTTCTTAAAATATAGGAGGAGGACACTGTCTGCCATACCATGTGTTGAGACCAATAAAAATATCCATTCTTGACAGGAGAGGACATGAAGTCCATACGAACCTGATCCCGTCAACATTCAAACTCTGTATAGCTTTCTTTTCTCTCTTATCCTGTGCTCACTTAGCAAATGCTGATGAATTTGACCTTGGCAGAGCTTGGAGGGGAGGGGGAGCCAGCCACCTGGTCCACTGGAGAGGTTTTTGTTAATTGCAGTACAATTCATACAATAAGTTAACCATTTTAAATGTACAACTTAGTGGATTTTAGGATATTCACTATGTTGTGTCATCATCATCACTATCTAATTCTAGAATATTTTCAATACATCGAAAAGAAATCCCATAC